AGTCTAATCAAATAACCATTTCTGTTAACAAWAATAATAATAATAAAAATAGTATAAAAATAGTTTCTGGTCCAGCAACACTCACCTCTCCTTCTCTGTCAGCCTCTCCTTCCGGCTCTTGAACTTTGCCTTCTCCAGGTCGTCCTGGATTCGCTCCCGTCTCTTCTCCAGCCGGTCAATCTGCAGTTCAACACCGAGTAAATCTCTACATAACGTTGGTCATAAATAAATAAAATAATTACTAAATAAAGTGAGATACAGAAGGATGCACATAGCACGGCGAGAGAACMGATTCAGCGTCTAACGGAGCAGCTACGGGAGCTCGAAAAGCCAAAAAGTGTAAAAGTTTCACCTCTGTGGCGACGCTGACGTTCTCTCGCTTCTTGTCTTTTACTCCAGACATTTCGGCACCAAGTTAGCAGACACAGTTTTGAGTGAAGTTGTGACGACCCGGAAGTGGTTTTCTTCTTCGAAACGATTGTAACTCCCGCTCAACCCGCCGGGGAGCTCTTCTGCCCCCTGGCGGCCAAAGCGTGTCACGACCACACAAAYGGGTGTTGCAGAACGAATTAAACAAACAAATAACGTTTTGGGGACGTTTTAAAAAAGTTGTTTCATCTCATTAAAAGCATATATATGTAGATATTCTGTTATGCTCATATTCTGGATAATGACAGCTGCAGACAAGTGAATTTAAAATACCTCTCAAAAGTATTGCAAAGTACACTTATATGTAATTCTTTTATTGTAATCGAAGAGGAGTCGTGTAAATTGAGGAACATGAGGTGAAGTTGGTGTGTGAGTGTGTTCACGTTTTACAGCAGATTTTTATATTTCTTATGTTGAATTATAAGAAATACATACTGTACATAGGTTTGGGTCAAATGAAACAATTTGATATGAAACTAGAATCCTGTTCTGTTTATTATACTAAGACTATACATCCTTAAATAAACACTGTCGTATATTAAATTTAAACATGAAAACACCACCCTTTAGATGTGAATCAGAGCTGTTTAGGAAGGTGTAAGTTTGAGTTTTGTTTCATTTGATAATCTATTCATTTAAAATCTTACAGCAGCAGAACTATGACGACACATATTCAGTCACATTGTAATATTTTCAAATAACATTAAAAAAACCTCATTAAAAATACATGAAATTAGGATTTAGACCAAATATTTATGTATTATTGTAACCAACAAGACAAATTAAATAATATCTTTGGATCTACTAATGATATCAGGATGATCTAAGTACCAAAATGTAGCTTTTAAAACCAGGAATCTGAAAATATGATTAGGTCATTTTGAACAAATTTGACTTAATCCTCATATSAGTGTGACRGGTCACATATATTGAAGGAATAATGATGGTGGGCTGCCAGGACCAAAACATAGGGCTGTTTTTTTGGTCCCATCCCTGGCTGGTTCCATGGATGATTTCAGTCACTTGGCTGTAGGCCTACCACTTGTACAACTTATTTAATTTTAAACCTACTATATAGTAGAACTTGTAACTTTTGTGTGCAAAATGTGGCTGTAAAAATGTTTTGTTTTTTAGTTTTGAAAAAAAAGTTTTGAAGTGTTTTACTGTTTAACAGTACATTAAACCTAAGTCTAATAATCATAATGCTTTGACGTTTTATAAMTTCAATTATACATTTGAACTAAAATTGTTCTTTTTTATTTTTCCTAACCAGACCAGAACCCTATACTGCAGGAGTGTCCCAATCCTGGACCTCTTTTTGGGATGATGAAGACCAGGTTCCTGCAAGCGCACCACACTTTTGTACCACATGTACAGATATACAGCAGGTAAAATAAGTATTGAACACGTCACCATTTTTCTCAGTAAATATATTACTAGAGGAGCTAATGAC